GGGCGGGGGAGGAAATCGAGGGGGCGTCCGATGTAGGAAAGTGAGCTCGGCGTCCGACAGGATCCTCCCCTCCCCCCGTGCCTCTTCCTCCGCTTCCCCTCTCTCCCTCCACCCCTCGCTCCCCCAAAGCGCCTGAAGAAGGCCGAGAAGAGGGCGCTCGCCGGGCTTCCGCGGCCACGGCCGTGAGTAACGGCCAATCCACCGTTTCCAAAAACCCGACGAGCAATGCCCGATAGGTCGGGCTTTTGGCGAGGAGGAAGAGTTGAAGAAGCTGGCGGGTGAAGAGAGCCAGGGACGACAAGGAGTAGGAAGGGAGGTGAGGGAGGACGGAGGCGAGTGCTTCGAACTGACGGCCGACAGCGTCGCTGGTCAAGGAAGGGAAGGAGGGGGGGAGGGAAGGAGGGAAGCGGGGAAAGATGTGGGGAAATGGAGGGAGAGAGAGGTTGAAAACCGATGCGAGGGATTTTAAGATGAAGATGTGAGGTTTTGTGATGCCTCAACCCCAGTTGTGCCCTCCTCGCGTATAAGCTTCATCCTCCTCGGCAGTACTGTCCTTCCTCATGTGAGCAAGAATCTCGCCCGTATTCTCTCTCTTTCGCTTTCACATCGGTCACAAATATTGCAGGACTCTCTTACAATTGTTTCCGGAAAAATTCCCATTTTTCTTCTCGGTGAGAGGCTCAATGTTCTCCTTACACCCAGACCGGGAAGTGTTTAGCCTCCCCCTACCTCGCAATGGCCTCCGCGTGCTTCATGACATATAAGGGGTTTAACAGGCTTTGCTCCCCTTTGTCATCCCACCCTTGTCCACTGCTTTCTCTTCCGCCGTTTGAAACTTTTCGTGCGCCCGTGACCAGATTATCAGCGGGAAGCAGCACCGGATGATCATTGGGTATTACTCGCTCGTACAGAGCCCGGGTGACGCTTGGAAGGGAGGGGCGAGGAAAGGTGCCAGCTCCCTCCATTTGGGCCCTTCACAATGCGTCCAAGCTGGCAGGAGGAAGACAAACTCCACACCACCTGTACGTATGCGCACAATTCGTGTCGAAATCATGGGGAAATCGGCGTTTAGTCTCAGTCTTGAAGGACACGAGGCTCGGGCGATGGTCTCCAACTCCGTGCAGCAAACGGACTTGTCCAAACCCGTGATGTGGGGCAACATGTTCACACACCCAATATACTTTGCGCATTATCGACACAGGCAGGCCCAGGAGGAATGGAACGGAGGCATCCACCTTTCCGGTGGAGCAAAGGGAAAATTAAGGGCCTGGTGTTTCGGTTTTGCATGATTGGCCATCTCCCTGGGCTGGGGAGGTCAAGTCCCCCTGCCTTCGCCACCACCTCCTCTACCTGTCTCTCCCTCTCTATCCCGTGCATGTCTTTGGCTTCTGTCACCTCAGGAAGTACCACAGCAATATGCTCCCCCTCAATATCCCCTGGGGGATGTGGTTTCATCCCCACGACCAGACCTTTGTCTCCACAATTCAGACGACCTTGCCTCCTCCCCTTGCTCCTCAACGTCCGAGGAGGGGCATTGGAGGCAGCTTCAGCAAATTCTTTCGGCACTGACGCAAGTGAGGGTAGTAATGCTGACTCAACTCCATCAACAGAGTCCGTGACGGACCCTGCAGAAGAGGCAGAAAGTGAAGAAACCCTCTCCCAGAGCCTGAAAGAGGCCATCCGCCTTGAGAACGACGACATCACGTCGGTGTACGCTCCCAGTGACGCGGAGGCCCTGCGGAATGGACACGAAGGAACGGAAGTTCCTCAATGGTCCATAGCGGAGGAGGAGGCGGATGGAGAGGGGGAAGGGAAGGAAGAGGACGAGGTGGGGGCAGGGAGGCCGGTCCCGATGTCTTCCCTCCCCCTCACTGAGCGCACCGCCTTCGTAATCATCGACCCTTTCTCCCCTTTCCTCGGCCGATATTTGAAACGGCGGGCACAGGCCATGGGCCTCGTTTGTATCGACGTCCTCTCCCCGTACACGGTGGCCAGCCTCCAGGACGGCCCCCGGAAGTGGCGGGCGCCGTGGCCGGGAGCCGAAAAAAAATGGGCGGCCCATCTCCCTGCCTTCAAACGCGTGGCGTTTGTGTTGTCCGAGTCCGACCACGGGGCGGCCACGGCCGAACGGATGCACGCGGCCGTGGGGGCGCCGGGGAACGGGGTAAATCCTACCCGGAGGAACAAGTACCTGACGAACAGGGCCCTCCAGGCCCGCGGCGTCGGTTACACCCGGCAGGTGCGCCGTTGAGAATTTGAAATTTTTAACGAGAACATGATGCGTGGGGACCACATACTCTTTCCTACCGCCTCCTCCGTCAGCCACACTCTGGTATGGCCTCTTTCTACCTCCTCACGGGCTCCCTTCCCTCCTCCTCATCACCTTCAGATCCTAGCCGAGACTTGGGAGGAAGCCGAAGCCTTTGTCCGCAATCAACTCCTCCCCACCCATCCCACGTCCT